GGAAGAATTTAAAAAGAAAAGAAAAGAAAAATCAAGCATTTGTGCCAAAAACAACAAAAACAAAAAAAACCCTGCAGTTCCCACGATCGCCACGGGCTTCCGTTTTTTTAAAATGTCCAACTTTACAGCAGAAATTTAAAAAATAATGTTTACAGCCTGCGATGTGAAACAGTTTTGGGTTCTCTTTATATAATACCTACTTCGTATTTCAGTTGCATTAAGGCTCAAAATTGGCATTATTAAGTCTGAGCTGGATGCTTATAAAGGTGGTTTTAGCTGAAATGTTTAACTGGTTACCACTAATTTGATTTACTGAATTGGGTCACATGCAGGTTTACTATGATGATGCCTTTTGAAAGTTTTCATACAATTATGAATCCATTTTATTAATTTTATCAAACTCATTTTATATATGAGTATAATCTGTGATAAATATCAATATCAAAAATTCTTTGCTCCAGTTTGGGAGAAGGATATTCTAGGATTTTTTTCTAATTTAATTATGTTGTTCTATGAATGAATGTTCTTTCTGCCTTTCTGGCACTTTATCTTACAAAAGGCTTTGTGCAATCCTTTTCTTCTTATAGGAAAAGTGCCTGTCTTAGTTTTTATAAACAAGTATAACCCTCGATGACATTCAGTCAATTTAATTTGTTCCTTTTCTTCATAACTTCTAAAAACTTTTCACAATATGCAACGTTTTTTCCCATTTTTTTCATTCATCAAATTAACGGGAAACTGATTAACTGAGGAGATACAGGTGAAGCCTGCGTCTGACAGAAAGGATCTGGTTCGAGTGTTAAGACGAGCGTGTTACTCATCTGTGCGACGTTGGCGTCTCTGTTTTATTAATTAGACCCTTTGTTGTTCGCACTTTAATGTGTCTGATTTCACAGTCACATGTTTTCCAGGGAAAATAAACAGATGATTGTGTTCATTGAGCAAAATCACATGAAGCCAATGAACCGTGAAGTGAGCGGGCCACATGATCTGAGGAGGAAGAGGAGGGGAGAAGGGCATGAGTAGGTCACATGGTCTGAGAGAAGGTGCTGCTGCTTCCTCCCTGAACCTAAAAACAAAAAATCGGATTTCTTTTTTTTGTTCAGATATGTCTTTTTGTTTTTTTATTGCTACTAAAAGTGAAGTTGCAGTAGCACTTTATTTAAACCAGTTTAACTGTCCTCTAACTGACCTCCAAACCCAGCTTCCTGTTCTGACCCGGGGGGGGGTTTGCACTGTTACAACCCTCGGTCATAAAAGAGTGCAAAGAGTGATTTCTGTGTTCATGCTGTTGTTGATTGGCTGTCTCCCTGTGGATTCGGTGTGTGCAGATAATTTTCTGTGGAGTTTTTCAAACATTTCTCAGAACAAAACCTCGGAGTCAGATGGAGGCGGTGGTGGTGATGATGATCAGAACAAAGATAAAGACGACAAATAAGAAAATGTAAGACTGAAAGAAAAATGATTAAAACAGCACAATGGCACCAGTGAGAGAAAACCGCAAACCACAAACAAGGACCAAACCAGCACGAGGAGGCCTTCAGATATTCAGTGAGTGTTTTCAGAACTGCAAATGAGTTTCAGAACGTTTGCTGAAAAACACTGACACCAAAAAAATTCCAGAAAAAAATCAAACAGGCTTCACAGAGTTCATCTTCACATCTTAACTGAGAGACCAGGAAACGTTTCTCCAAGAGCTCACTCTGGTTCACACCCACCGGCTAATTTTAACTTACACTCAAAACATCTGTAAGAGGCAGCATTATGCTAAACAATCTCAAGGGGAATGATTGCAGGATATTAGAGTTAAGGTAAGTCTGAGGTGCAGGGGTGGAGCCAAATAGTGGCCAGGTGGGTCCAGTGACAGAACAGAAGTCTTGCAGCATGCATGCATCTGATAGAAGGCTGTGCATGTGTACAGCTGATGTTACCTGCAGTGACTACTAAAGAGCTTTTTCTCTTAATGCTTGTTTAACCACCTGCTTTAATTGCAGTTATGGATGAGCTTCTTTAACAGTTCAAAAAGAGGAACTATAGGTAACATTTCAGGTACTTTTTGACCATTTGATGCTGTAAGTAACGATCTCATCCTGGCCACCGCAGTAAATATTGTCACCTTCCCAGGTGAGTTTTCCATCCTACCTTCTGTGATGCAGAGGACGCGCTGCGTTTTATGGATGAGCGTTTGAAAGACCCATCAGTTCCTCTCCTCCCTCTGCTGTCCATGTTGGTAAAGTTTAGCTTTCCTCCACCTTCATCGTCCCATCTCCCCTTCTGTACGCGTGTCCTCTGTCTCTTCTCTGTCTCCCGTGTCCTCCTGTGGTCGTCGCAATCCCGTCCTCAGTCTGTGATGCGTTCATCTCTGGGTGGGGTGTGGTGGGTGGAGACCCCATCCTGTCTCTCCATGTGTAATCAGGATTAGTGGATGCTACAGACGGCCAAGGGTGGTGCTCTACGAGGGATGCAGATTTAATAAATGATGATTGGAGGTAAATCTACTTTAAACCTTGCCTAACTCAGTGCAGACAGGATAAAGTTCTGTCTTTTATTCTTTCATAAAACTGAAGTACCACTCCAACATATTTGGATGTGCAGCTCCACCTCAGCACTTTTCACTGCTGTGAAATTTTAAATGAGAGTGAGTTGGGTCAGATTCCCCACTGCTGTTTGCATTGATAGCATGAGAGGTAAAGGCTCCATCTGCAGGTTGACTTGAACATGACAAATTTATTCATGACAAGAACATATCAGTTGCTCCAATTAATCATTTTTCTGCAGCATAAGGCAGGATCAGGTGACCCTGCAAGAGGCTCAGACTGCAGGAGGACTTCCCCTGATGCACTGAGAACTTCTTCTCCACGTGCCTTAAGTGCTGCTTTCTCCCATACTATTTGCCTATATGCTGTTTTTCTTCTCTGTCCTCTCACGCCCCAACCATTTGCGGCAGTTCGCGCAAGCATCGTTCTGCAGAAGGTCTCTTCCTGTTTTAAAGGTGTTCTTCCTTCACACAGTCAACAAGTGCTTAACAAATTAGGACTAAAAATAAAACAAAACATTAAAACATATTTAATAAAACTTCTATAAAATAGAGTGGCTGTCACAGGTTGCCGGGGCAAGCCGTGTGGGAGTTATTTAGGACCAAAATGCGGCAGCTCTAGTGTAAGTGAGTTTATTAAACAGAAGTAGATACAAACAGAAACGGCAAAGGTGAGCATGGAACTACGAAAACCTAAACTGGGCAAAACTAACAAAACCAACCAGAAACGAAGATGCAGGGAGGCACAGGAAAATACACGGGAAACCGGACGGCGAGAAGCAGACGAACCAGCAACGAGGACGCGGTAACACACACTTTAAATACACACACCAGGAATCAAGGGATGGGAAACAGGAGGGGAACACATCTGGAAGACATCACAGCTGACGAGGCAGGGGGAACGTAAACAGAACACACTGACATTAGACAGAGCCCTTCAGAGTAAAACAGGAAACACATACGCGTAATGACACAGACTCAGAGACGCGGACTAAACACAGAGACCTAATACACTAAGGAGATACACAAGCAGGGAAGACACCAAACAGAGGGAACACAACTAAACCCTAGGAAACCCAAAACCACAGTCATAATACAAAACTATCAAAAGTAAAAGCACACAACCAAAAACACTGGGTCACCGACCCAGGACCATGACAGTGGCAGCAGAATAAAAAATAGTCTTTGCTGAATCTTTGTTACGGAAACATCGGCATGGAGTTTGGGGTGCGATTCATCCCGTGTGAAGCGATGTTGAATTTCAGTGGAAGGGAAAAACAAGGATCTGCATTTTGTCCCAAGTGGTATGACATCAGTGACTCTGCACTGAATCTTGATTATGATTATGAGTCACTTTGGCAAAACCATCTTGGTGTTTTGCAACTAAATGTCATGGATGAAGCAAAGGGACCAAAGTAGCCACGCCTTAAACCATCCCCTGCTTTATCATCTATTTCACTCTAACTGGAAAAATAATTTACAAAGTGAACTTTAACGTTTTGTTCAGTAAGACCCAAAACTGGTGACTGAGATCAAAATGTTTATTGAGGTCATAAGTCAAGTAAAAAGTTCTGTCATTTTTTCATACACTTCTATGCAATCAGACTTCTTTTGAGGATTTTCCTCCAGCTGATCATTAATAAGAAAATTTAAGGCTTTACTTTTCATAACTAAAGGCTGCTTCCACCTTTCGTACACAGTCTATCATTCAAATCACTTTTTATTTGACGACTGAATTTAATTTGAAAAAAATGTTATTGAATGCTTGACCATAACCTGGAGTCGCTCTGGGCTATAATCCAGCAACACACACATAAATAAAACCTGATTCAGTAAAAGGTTTTACATGATTTATATTACAGAGATTCAGGATTAATGTTACACTCTCACACCGGATTATTGATGAGGGTGCTTCTCTCTTATCATATATATTAGCATCTTCTATCAGAGGCGTCATTAGAAGTGATTTTGCTGGTATTATGCTTCAGATACACAGTGCATGGCGTATCCATGGAGGTTCAGCTATGGACACAAAATACTCTGTGACAGCTAGTTTGCTCTGTGTGATTTTATTATTTGTCATTTAATGTTTTTAGGCTTTTATTCTAAATAAATTGTCAATCTGGATCTTTGGTTGTCATCTGATTGAAAAGGTCCTCTGTCTTTTACAAATACGGTCAGATTGTCCAGAAACCTGAAGGGCTTATTTGTATATTATAAACTACAAATACGTGAAATGTATTTGTATTCTAGCCCCAGCATCATGCAGAGAAGGAAGCCTTAGGATTTTCAAAACCTGTTCCCAAACAAGTTTGGATGGCTTGTAAAATGTAAATAAAAGAATGCAAAAGCTGAACTCTTGCAGCAAAAATCTTTATTCCTCATCCCCCTGACTGTCTTCTCTCATCACTTTAAATAAAACTGACCTGCAAATGCCTTTTGGGACAAAAACAAGAAACAAGAAAACCATTTTAAAGCTTTTATTTGTCCACTAAAGTTACTTACACTGCATCAACAACAATAATTAACATGTAAAGCTCTTGGGGAAGATGCAAAATATTTGTTTTGCAGAAGAAAAATCAGGCTGAAAACTTATATATAACAAAAAAAGATTTAAAAAAATGCAAACATGGCTTCAGAAGCCTCAGCGCTGCAGAAACAGTTTGATCTTAATCTGATGTGGATCCAGAGATGATTGAGCTTTTTGGTTTGTTTGACTTTATTTTTTGCAGGAGATTGAATATACTATATATATATACTATAAGTATTCATAAGTCAACACCTTTTTTTGTAATGGGCAGTGAGAATTTAATTTGCTAAACGACTTTACACACAAACTACAGCCCCATTCAGACACATGAACCTCATAGAAGGAGGTGAGCAATGAAGCCGTCACTATAGTTATTCAGGCTAACAGCAGAGGAGTGAAGTCTCAATAATGCGATATAGAGAGTCTAAGGAGGTTGGGAATAAAGCGATTGGACTCCTTTAAGTTTCGTGAAGACGTCTCACTTCTCATCCAAGAAGCTTCTTCAGTCCTGATATTTTATTGCTTCCTCCTGTGATGTTATTGGTACAGCAGCTGCACATACTGAGATTTTTATTCAAACATGCAGGTGTGCTAAATGGATTCCTGGAATCAGCATTTCATGACTCCTCATGGAAATGGAAGAGGGAGCAGGGACGTTCCCTAACCTGCAGTGAACCAGAACAGTGTGGACAGCGTTAAATGAATTATTGTGTTATTGTGTTATTAAAGATGAAAGCAGAGAATAAATACATTTTTCTCTGCATCGTTGATTGTTGCACATTGTGTCAAATATCACAGAGTTGCTGTATCGTGATGCCATCATTATCACAGGTGACTTATTGTGATAGCACAGTATCATGAGTGGACTCGTAAGAGAAGTGGACATTCAGCTGGACAAATACAAAAGCCTCCCCATGGGGGCGCTACTGACTCAAAGGGAAGCAAAGGCAGTGTGTGCAGTTATCCTCAGAGATGGAATTTAGTCAACAAACTTAAACGTGTATCATTAGATTTAAAATGACTTCCAGAAAATGCAGAAGCTGTTTCCTGTTTTTAAGTCTGCTTCTGTGTAACCAAATAAAAACTATAGAGATAATCAGATTAGCAGCAGCACCGGTGCCTTCATAGGGAGAATGAAAGAATCTGAATCACATGAATGAGGCTCTGGACAGGGTTGAAAGCACAATAGGAGAAGCCAGGTCAGAGAAACAGCTCATTATTACTGAGCTGAACACTGAGTCACATGCTGCAGACTGGATTACCATCACTGAGCAGAGCAGGTACTGATTACATCACCCACCTCCTTGCTCTGAATGAGGGCACCGAGAATGAACAAGAAGTCCAGATGTGTGATGAATATTTCAGCCTAAGGGGGGCGCTGATGAGTTGATATGAGGCCAATATCTCACCTCTGTCAGATCCACATCTTTATCTGCAAATCAGAATGAACAAAAGCTCTGTCCAGTGCAAACACACAGGCATCCACACAGACATAGAAGGGTCAAAGTTCAAGGTTTGGTCCAGACTAAGTGCTGTTGGGGAGCTGTGCTTCCAGTCAGCTCCCAGCAGGGGGCGCGGCCTCCGGCTCACTCATTTCTCAGCTTTCACCTTCGTGTCATACGTCCCGGCATTCTTGTACGCTCCCACGTAGCCCGTGTTCTCCACAATCTCCTCACGACCCTCGCGACCTTTGCCCTTGCCGCTGTCGTCAAAGCGCTCCTTGTGTGATCCAGTGTAACGGGACGTGTCGGTCAGACGGTCCACCGCTGCTGTCTTTGCCACTTTCTGATGGAAGTAGAAAAATTAGATTAAAGTCAGTAAAAGAAAAAATATCTTCCCTGCTTCAGGACGCGTCTCTGTTTTTTTAACAAGAGGGGAAAAATGAAGACAATGCAGAAGCGCCACAAACTGCTGTTCCTCTAATGACCACTTGAGGCCATAATGAGGTTGGCGCTTTTAGAGTTCCATGTTAACATATCCAACATTACAAAGCATGTTTACAGCCTCTAACATAAACCATCCACTACTTCAGGTCACTAAACATTATTTATTGATCGTGTGTTTGGGCGTTGGAGCCTTTTAGAGCATTTTAATAGATGACACAATAAATATTCTGGCTTGTTGTGTTTTATTCGTCTGCTTTTTAACTCACAGATGATAACGTGTGATTCCAAGAATCATTAAAATGCAAAATCATGAAGTCAACAAGTGATATCACAGTGGCTGCAACTATTTTTCATAACTTCTATGTTTTCTGTACGACCATGGGTGCAACACGCAAACGCCACTTAGAAAGCAACTCTTACTGATTCACGTTTAGTTTAAAGTGGAATTAAAATTGTTGTTTGCTTTAAGCTATGATTCTGATCATTGCACAGTATTTTAGATAACACGGAGCCCTCTGCATTTAACTGCACTGGGTCCCTGCAAACTGCACCTTCATTATGCAATCCTCTCTGCCCCAGGGCATCAAATGAAGACTCCACTGCAAAACCACAACAAGAATAATATGTCTGCTTTCTTCATTAGTTTTCTTCAGGTAGCTGAAATGAGGATAAGATAGAGTAACTGGAAACAAAGCGAATGAAAAAAAGGCCCAATGTCAGAGCAGGCAAAACAAGGCAAACAGGAAGGGTAGTAGAAACCAAAGTTTAAAGAATATGGACATTTAAATAAAGCATCTGATAGTTTTTAAAGTCACATTTATTTAACACCATTCCCACTTGATTAGCAAGTAGCAAGAGGTGCCTGCTCCTTAGCCTTTTACAGTCGTGTAGTTATCAAATCAGTGTGAGAACCAATAGTGAGTGAATGAGCAGATCTGGATATGAAACAGTTCTTTTTCACCTCAGGAAAACAGTGGATTTCACCAACAGTCCCATATTGTACTGCTGATAGGTAAAGTTTAAATGACATGCAGTGTCATTTGTAACTCCACAGATAGCAAGAACTTCTTACTATGAAGTTCTGCTTTAATCCATGAAAACTTTAAAACTTTGAATCGATAACAGACATATGATAGATAATATAACGCTGATTCCTTCATGAACACAAAAGCTTGTAACTTGATCGTGTTTTTTACTAATGGATTGTCATCTGTAATGCATGCATTTCAGTCAGGTTAGTGTTGACTGTATCTGCTCTGATGACTGAAGGGCGTTTAATGATCTGGAGAGGATCCAGACTGCCTCACTTGCTGGCTCATGCTCTGAGGACCTCACCATTATAAAATAAGAGCTCTTTGATGTGTGCAGTTGTGATCTGATGGATGAACCAGCTGTGATTGAGCCATGGCTCTGAAATATTAGAGCAGAGTAAGATGCTTGTTTGTGGAGCAGCTCAGGACTTGTTTTTCTACAGCTGAAAACTGAGAAGATGAGCCTGAGGTGATTAAACGCTGAGCTAAATATAAAATATGAGCAGCACATAATCATACTCGTCTAATCATGTTTTCATGATTATGCTGCTGTTTTTCACAGACAGACACTCTTCTGTCCAAACTGTAGCTCAGAGTGTGGAGCTGGGAAATCGACTAAACTGATCAGAAAAATTCGTTTCTATGCAGATGATGCAGTTTTATGTTCTTCTGGTTCCGACTTCACTCGCCCCTTGATGTTTTTTATCATTACTTTAAATACACTGTGTTATCTACTGCCCTCTCAAATGAGGCCCTACCCCAGGTGTAGCTCCAGGGTGGAGTCCTGGTATCCCTGGTCCTCAGTCCTTGATGAATCCAATCATAGATGTTTTGAATCGCACTTGGTCTGGCCCCTCACCCAGGACCAGTTTGCCTTGGGAGACCCTACCAGGGGCAAACTGCCCCGGACAACATAGCTCCTGGGATCACTTGGGCACACAAACCCCTCCACCACGGTAAGGTGGCGATTCATGGAGGGGACTATTATATATAAGTATGGGTGTGGCTTAGTATTACAGTGTGGCTTAATCCATATAACTACATTATCACTTACCTTTAAGTCTTTTCTTTTGGAGACTCATTGCTTTTGTTTTTACACATATGCACAAAAAGAAAAATGATGCATTTCACAAAATATACATAGCATAGAATCACAATTTCCTGTTTTACTGTTGAGCATCTTTATTGTGGGATTTAGAGCTTTAAAACAACAGGCACACAAGCATCTTGTCTCACCGTCACACCAACGTTGGTAGGCTCTCGGCCTTCCACCAGCTTGTGGATAGACTGCAGTGCCTCCTCTTTGCTTTGACCTTTGAACCTCTTTAGAGCCAGCTCTTCCAGAGCTTTCTGAAACTCCTCGTAGTTGATGACCCGAGACGTCTTCTGTCTGTACAGAAATACACAAAAGGAACACAGACATGGAAGAGTTCAGAGTCTAAACTGTACTATTAATTCTCTTGGTTGGAAAATGTCTTTTAGCTGTTTTTAAATTATTAAACAGATATTTTGTTTCATCGAGAAAAGTTTGGGAAGCTGAACACAGGCACAACTGTCAGAGTAATTGTGGTGACTGGGAATTCAACAAGAACTCAAGTAACTAAAAGTAGAGCAACAAAACTACAGAAAACAAACAACAGCTGCCCCTTCGATACACCGCACTGCAATTCCTCAAAAACGTCCATCCCAGGAACACAGCAAAAAGTCTTCTTATTGCAGGTCTAAATCTTTGGCATAGTTCAACACTCATCAGTTTTTAGAGTATGACTTCAGCGCTCTGCCTGAACTAATTATGTGCTACATTTGTGTTTGAATATAGACTAAAGTGCTGCAGTTTTATCAGGACGTGTGGAGGAGACACTGACTTAAAAACTAAATACGGAGCAAAAAGTCTTTCAGAGGTAAGATTTATGCACGTGTTTCCATACAATATGGTAACAGAAGACTTTAAGGGAGGTGGTTTTACAAATATAAGTTCGACTAATCGCCCCACCTTTGTTAAAGAGCAGGACACATTCACTCCCTGCACGCACTGTTCTCCCACATTACAAGCAAGGCTTGAACGGCGCTTCTAAAAGGGCGTTTCCAGATTAGCCATGATCTGTAGCGTGTCCGAGCACAAAGCCCATCATCCACATTAAATGTGCATATGCAATAAAAATGTGACAGCTACCTTGACAGTGGAGCACTGCTGTTTCATCAGCATAATGGTACTCAATTTTCCTCAAATTCAGTGTGGACCAGCAGGTCTTCAAATACCACAGTAAAATATCTCCAGTACTCAAAACGCACATGTCACCAGCAAGGTGTTGTGTAAAGTCACCTCTGTAATCCTTTTGAGTTTCTGGAGAGAGATTTGGCCATGTTAAGATGAGACGCTAGTTCATCAGCTGATGGTCACAAACTTGGTTATAAAGCTGGGAAAAATTTTCTTTCTGTTCCAGGCTGCACATTTTAATGATGACAGTTAACCAGTTCATTTCTACTGTGAGGCTGGGGATTATAAAATGGGACTCTCACTTTTGGAGCCTGCCTCAAGTGGACATTAGAGGAACTGCATTTTATGCAGTCTTTTGACACTGGCGCTGATGTGAACACTCACTTGACTTTGGAGAAGACGATGTCCACGTCAGTGCCGGTGACGTTCTTGCCGTCAGTGATCTTGCAGTCTTTGCACAGTTTGGCCCAGTTCTTCCCGGTTAGATCCTTGCCTGTTGCCTTTGTGTCTCCATGGACTGCAAACTTCCTGAAAGCTGTGAGGAGCTGCTCCATGTCTGCACTCTCCGCCATGATGAAAAGATAATCTACAATAAAATTAAGCAGAGGACAACACTGGAGATCGTGTGTGAAGGTAATCTCCTCCCCCTACAGGATTTATGAGAGCATTTTGAGTTTATAAATCAAAGCCATATGTATTACAGCTGTTCATTTAGTTTATTCACCTGTAGTCACCTGGAGCCACACACACTGTCAGATAATTCTAATTAAAATGCTTCAACAGTTACCAACATCACAGTTGTGGTTGACAGATCCAGTTTAGTGGTTCAGATGGGCCAAGAGAACAGGTGACTGTGTCGGCGGAGTCAGAGCAACCACACCCAGATCAGGCTGCCATTATGTTTTTTCATGTATGAGCGTCTGTGGAGATTGATTCGCTTTTGAAGTCACCCTCCGGTGGCCATTAGAGGAACTGCAGTTTCTGGCACAGCTTCATTACAGATTCTATCCTGTTATTTCCTGAAGGTCAATATGTCGTGCACAGCACTTTGTAAAATAAACCAGCAGAGTGGATATTTCCTCCTCTCTGTGCAAAGCTCCTCTTTCTGAATGGTTCTTGGAAACAATGCTTAGTTTTCCCTTTGGGAAACCTTCTGCTGTGCCAGTAGCAGCTAGAAGTTGTTGCTTCTGTGTGTAGGTGTTTTGGACATGAAGATCATTTTGATTATCTTTGCAGCTCCAGCAGAAGTGTGCATGTGCCCACAGAATATGTGTGTGTGTGTGTGTGTGTGTAGGGTGTGAGACGTGACCTCACTGTGGTTTCTCAGGCTTGTGCGACTACACACACACACACACACACACATTGATGCAATCCCAAACAGTGGGTTTCATGGAAACAGAACTGGCTGCATCTCTGTCCAAATACACTTGTGTCTCCTTGTCATGCTGCTTCTGGTGAAAATTCCACTTGCACAACTCTGAATCAGAGCTGCTGCAGGCCATAGCGGCTGAAGTTATAGTACAGATAGTTAATATGAGCCCTGCTCACACACACACACACATGCACGCACACACACACGGTGTGTGAAAGGTGTAAGTGCATCTGTGCATTAAAACTGGTGTGTAGGTGTCAGATTGCAGGCAGTGGAGGCAGCTGCAGTTTTAATGTGAAGCAATCTCTTCTATTTGGAAGCTGATTCATTAAACCTGCTTTTTGTTTTTAGGAAGAGTGATCAGTGCAACTCCGCTGCAGTCTCTTTTTAGACGTCTCAACATAAGAAGCATCTCTGCATTCAATTGGCTCTTGTAACAATCTTCAGGGACTGACCTCTTGTGATGAGCAGCGATTTGTATCGCTTCTTTAGAAAACAGAAAATATCGCACAAAATCACACATTTAAAAATCAACCGATAGTTTAATTGCAAGGAGTCAGACTCTGGATTAGCTCACAGCAAGGCAGGTACTGTCTAACATCTATCAGATGTGTTCAGGTGCAAGACTGAAAGTCGGTCATCTCTGAACCCAAATCCCACAATCACGGCAGTTAAAACTGAAGACAGATCAAAGCAGGAATTAATCTGGTCTCTTTGTGCATCAACAAGTTAAGACTGTTCTGAGTTCAGTCAAGTTTGAGCTGTTATTGTGGTAGAATGATTCACTCTGATACAAACCATTCCCAAGCCAACTAATCCCAACAGAGACTGACATTTAACGATCACATGTTAAAACATTCAAATCTATGAATAACTGTTAAAACAGGAGCACAGAGGTTGAGGAGAAATGCAGGAGCGTTAGAGACAAAGGAGACTATAACCAAATATTAATCGGATGTATCATGGTACATGCGATTCTAGAAATTCTAGAAATAAGAGGAAGGTGACATGGGAGAGCGCTGCAGCCCCGAGGTTAAAACCAAGGTCACTGCTTACATAAATGTTAACGTCAGCGTACTTGAACTTAACTCACTGTAGTCTTTTCCTAAGAAACACGTATCGTTGCTTAGAAAAATTCCCTGCTTACTTGGAGGAATAAAACAAAGATGAAACAGTAAGGTTAAAGTTAAAATCTGGGTGGTGCACAACAAGCCGAAATGGCACCAAAAAAATGGTACGCCAGCAGTTGTGACATCACATCTGGCAGAAACAGCAAGCGAAACCTCCCTGTGCAAAGGTGGACTAACAGTTTGAAGCGTAACAGTTTTTTTCTCATCCTCATTGTGTTTCTTGAGTATTATCGTTGACAGAAATAATGAAAAACACAAAAACATAAATTCAGATCAATATTTGCAGCGCTACTTTAAAACATGCACTGCAGCTGGGAACTTTTTACGATACCACCCGACACAAACATTCAACGCACTTATATGGGACATTAAACAGTGGAACAGTGGTAAAAAGTCAGCGTGACGTAAGATTTGCAAAAGGACTTCTTGTAGTGAGAACGTTGTTAGCTTCATGCTAGCACTTGTTGGGTGCTCCATGTGAGAAAGGGGAACTTCAGACACTCTCCTGAACTAATTCTTGTGAAATTGTCCAACATTTATGTGTGAAAATTACTTTTTTTTTTCCTTAACCATCGATAGACTGGGCTGCCCACATCTCGCCGTCTTTATTCTGCCCATAGTGACCAGCAGCCTGTTACAAAAGCATCCTGACTGTAGCTTACTGCCTAAAGCATCTGCCTATCACTTGCACTTGTAATTCCTGGGTTTCCTGAAAAAACAAATATTCTATGCACAATTATCAGCAGGCAGGTAGGAAAAGCTGCACCTGAGAGGTGAAACCCAGGAAAAAAGGCTGGGTTTCGACACTTCACTGCTCCTTTATGTTTTTGCTTTGAGACGCACAGACAGATATTGAAAACTTGATTGTTAATCAATAGTAGGAACTTCAGTCCTGTCTCAGTGTTAAAAACAAAGCTCAGCTAGGCTCACACGCTCTGTTTCTAGCAGCAGCTCTCCTTCAGTTTGAGTGCGTTTTAGTCATGGGGCCACACAGACTGTGTAAAGTGTATGGGCGTGCCAGTCAGTGTGTGTGCATGTGTGTGTGTGTGTGTGTCACTATGCAAAGACAAATAAACAGATTACCGACTGTCCACACTTTTAAAATTCATAAAACATGACAGCATGTTTACGCCGTCGCCTTGGCACATTAAATCCCTGCATGTTTGTGTTCAGTAGCAGATCCCATGCACACATCGCTTTTCTAATTTTATACTTTTTAAGCCAGCAATTTTTAGCAAATTGTAATCAAACATCTTGTCTGGTGTGAAGATTCCTGCTGTTTGCTGTTTGTTTGGCGAGAACGCTTCATGGCTATTTCTTTCAGACATTTTAAGTTGATAAGTGGCAGCATTATTGAAGACACAGCAGATGAATCACTGAAGCTTCCAGCTGTGCAGACTCCAAACATTCGGCTATCTGTGCATGTCTGAAATTAAACCGACTCTGATCTTCAATCACTGCAGAAAAAGTTTCTGGAATAAAACTAAAAAGTTGTTCCAGCACTGACTGCGTGAAGATTTTAAAAATTTATCTGAAAACTGTCATTAAAAAAATCCTTCTGTTTATATTAAACACATCAACTTCTACTTTTTTGTTCTTCTTAATTTTTCCATTCTTCTTCTTTGCTTTGCACTTCTGACATCTGCACCACACCCAATCTTTCAGTCTTATTCTCTAAAACTTTTTTCTTAAATTCCACGATTTCTCTCTTTTTTTATTGCATGTGTGTCCTGCAGTTTCCTACCTGTCGGTCTTCAGTCCCCTCCGTCTGCCTCTGCTCTCCCTCTTCTGGCCCTCAGCAGCGGTGGCAGCATTCAAATGAGTTCTGAAGAGCTAAGGGTTGTTATCATCTGTTTACCCCGTCGCCTTGGCGACATCCTGTCCAACATCAGGGGAGGGCAATAAAACAGAGAAAGAGGGGGAGAGAGAGGGAGGGTTGGTCCTACGGCAGGGCGCTTATGCAGGCTCCTGCAGTTTCCCACAGCTGCAGGTCAAAGGTCAGAGGTCATAATGATCATATAACAATGCTGCATGCAGATTTTTATGCTTTAATTGAAATTAAAGGCTGGATAAAGTGTAAACATAAAACAAGAAAAGCACTCTGTTGAGCCTTTGGCAGGTTTTAGCAGCTGCTCAATACACTGGCTGAAAATAAGATTTAATGAAGTTATGATGACAGATTTCTGAGTAAATACTCTTTGCAGTCTGGCCCCTTCCTCTCTGTGTCAAAGCTGCACGTAATGACGGGCGAGTGGCTGAAAGGCAGCATCGCTGCTGCCAGTGACAGAGAGGCAAACACAGAGTGCTTTGGAGAATTTCTAAGGTAAAAAGGAGACATGCGGTCATGTGAAAAAGCAAGTGCACCCTTCCTTCTACCATAGGAAGCCAGGTGCTGCTGATCAAGTGCACATGATTAACTGATCACCAACAAGTGTAAGCACCTATATAGAAGCAGGAGTTTCATCAGTTTGCTGTTCTGGACGACTTACATGTGTGTAAACACGTGTAATCTTCTTGCCATGTCCCAGAAATTCGCCCTGAGCTCATGCAATGCTCAGAGAAATTGCAAAAAACCAAGAGCTCTGTCTCAGACTCTCCAGGCTTCGGTTAGCATATTAAATGTTAAAGTTCATGAAATGGGCAATTAGAAAAGGACTGAACAAGTATGGCTTGTTTTCAGGGGGTTGCCAGGAGAAAGGCTCTTCTCTCTAAAAGAAGATTGCAGCACGGCTGCATGCAAAGATGCATCTGAACAAAAGCCTTCTGGATCAGTGACACCTCAGACAGACAATGTGTGGGAAAACCAAACACAGAGCATCAGCACAAACACCTCATGCCAACTGTCAATCAGGGTGATGGAGGGCTGATGAACTGGGCTTGTTTTGAGCCACAGGACCTCGATAATTTGCAGTCACTGTGGTGCGGCCTTTCAGTCGCTCGCCCGTGAATGCATTTGTCTGATGGCTAAAGCTTGACTCAAACTGAGTCATGCAGCAGGTGATTAATCCAAAGCACAGCAGCAAATCTCGTACAGAGTAGCTGAAAAAGAAAAGAATCAAGCTGCTGCAGTGATAGAAGATGTGGTTGTTTTGTTTGTAGTACCAAGTGTGAAATAAATAAAAATGAAATGAAATGAAATGAAATGATCCAGTCAAAGTCCAGACCTGAGTCTGACTGAAACGCTGCGGTGGGACCTTCAAAGAGCTGGGCAAAAACAAATGTCCACAAAGCTCAATGATCTGAGCCAATGCAGTAAACAAGAGTGGGCCAAAACTCCTCCACAACTATGACACTGATAAAATCATAAAAAACATACTGCTTCACGTTATTGTTGCTGACGATGATTTTACTGATTCTACTGAAGCGGTACTTCGCTTCTCACTGAGTGCAGAGTCCTAAAAAGCCACAGGCAGACGGCGTGATAAAATCATAGCTTGGTGAAATGTCATAAACTCATGGCATTAGGTCTGATCACAAGTGGACTTGACTACAGGTGTAAACACTCCCAGAATGCACCGAGGCCTGCATCCATTGAGAAGTCTCAGGCCCTGGAGGCAGTCTGGTCTGCATACGATCACATTTTTACAGCTGAGTGTGCAAGAATGTCTGCACACGCTCTCGGCTGACATCTTCTGTGTAAGCACAACTGCAAACTCATTCACACACTGATAAATGAGCGAAACACAAACACGGACCGATTTCGCTGCGCTGGGATCAGCTGGTGCTACACATGTGCAGACTCATAATGTGTTTCAGAGCAGAAGCTGCAGAAGCAGAAGGGTGAAACTATTTTAACTCATTTTATTCCACGGTGCACCGTAAACCCTGATTTGATCTCAGTCACGTCTGGACCAGGAAAACTTTTGCATTACCTGATAAAATAAAGCCGATTCTGAAAAGGTTTGCATATGAGTGACATCTCTTGAGAAAATAAGTGTGACTTTTCCATGTTTTTTACACAAACATTTGAAACTACAGCAACTCTTTGAAGGCACAAAACCATCACATATATTGTGTTTTGAAACAGGACAGTATGACACATTATTTTACTTCACTGTGAAATAAACATAACAGTGCATTTTATTGAATTATTATTTTATTTATTTTATTGAAAAAATAATAGTAACTTGTCTTCAATTTTCATCCAGTGGGCCAACTTGCATCTCCTGATAGGCCAGACTGACACACCTGGTTTTAACTGTTTTGTTTATGTTATTCAGAACAGAATTCACTGATTATTGCTTTTGTACAGAAGATAAGACTAAAACGTGAAGCTGAACTTGTCAATGAGAACTTTCAAAAACAAAAAATACAAGGATATGACTCAAACTAAACCAGAAGCTGAAGTTAATGCAGAGGTCAAAAGGTCACGGTGCAGCACAAACGTGATGTTTTATTTCCCCTTCTCCGTCTGCAGAGAAAAAACCTGCAGAACGTTTTTAGAAATATAGATGCAGCACAAACAGTTCTTCTTGTGGCAGGAAACTGAACTTTACTGAAACTTCCTGCTGGACATGCAATGACAGATTAAATCATTGTTTGTGTTTCTGTTGTCATGGCAACAGTGTTTTGATGTTTGTCAGGTAGAATCCAGTAAGACGGGATCAGCAGGCCTACACGCTGCTGCAAACATCTGCAGGTACTCCAGTGCATTTCATGTCCTGCTCAACTTGTTAAAAACAGAAAAATGCGCTTTAATCGTATTTGTTTGATTTTAAAGAAAGGAACCTCCCAGACACCAGAAGTTTTTATGGTTTATATTTTTCTCTTTTCAGCAGGGGAAAAGGAAATGTGCAAATTTGCATTTTTGACATTCATACCGAAAACACGAAGCTCTTTATCCTGCTTGAAACGGTTGAAATGCGTCTCTCTTCTCAGCACCATATTCACATAAACATTTCTCTCCTTATATAACGCTGCAGACAGTCGTCACCTTAATAACAGAACAAAATGAAACTGCAGGTTGATCGGTGCAACAGGCCGACAAAGACAAAGAACAGCTGAGACGCTTTCATCGGGAGCACTTTAATCTCAGCATCTTTCTTGTTCAGTGGAAACCAAATTGAACTGGAAATTTCCAAGTTAGACATCTCAAGACCGATCGCTGAAAATGTAAACAAAGTGGCTGACAGCGATTTGGCAGGCAGCATTTTAAAAGAAGCTGAAACAAAGGCACCCTGAATTCTTAGCTATTTAGTTTTAGTCACATGGCGCTCTGCTTGAGGCACCACCAGCTTCAGGAAACCCTCCATCAGGCTTCCTGAAGTGGAACAATCAGAAGAGAGTGAAGGCATGTTGAAGAGGGAGCTGCCAGGCAGGAAGACAAAGAAGATGATCACAGAGACGGTTCATGGTTGTAGTGAAGGAGGACATGCAGAGGGTTGGTGTGACAGAGGAGGATCCTGGGATAGCATGACATAGAAGCAGGTGATCTGCTGCGGCAACCTCTAAAGGGAAGCTGAGAGAAGAAGAAGAAAGGCCTTAGTGAGGCAGAAGCTCAAACAGCTTGTCTCAGAAAGGAAGTGCTGCATGAAGGGCCAGGATGACAGAAAGAAAGATGCAGGGCCGTCCCCTTTGTTGCCATCAGATCAAATAAACGAGAGTGAATGATACGAAACAACCAACAACCACAACAGTTTCAGGAGGTTACCGTCCTAAACGCTGTAAATCTCTGTGAATACCACAGAAACTACGTTTCTGAGGCTCTCATTCACAGACTGTATATAAAAGATGCATGTACGGTCATGTGCAAAATTAGTGAGTCACTCTTTATTTTTTAATATTTTGTTTCCAAGGAGACTTAATTGTAATTATTAAAGTGGTCTTGAGCAATAGTTCTCCAGGCTTTTTGAAGGTCTTTCAGTTTTTCTTTGGAAATTGGCTGCTTTTTTGTTCATTTTCAGTCCAGCCCTTGGACCTGACCTCATTTTGGAGGTTATTAAGCTACTCAAGTGTGATCTGCGGATCATTCCCAATTACAAAAATGCAGATGCTGCTTGTGCAATAAGCCGTACGTTTTACGTCCAATGGATGATGATCTGATTAGTCGACTAATAGCAAAAATAATCGGTGACTAGTCGACTATCAAAATAATCGTTTGTGGCAGCCCTAATGTTTAATGAGACTTTGGATGTCTACAAGAGTGAGAGTCAACTGCTTCAAAAAGTTCAGTGTTTTTAATGTCACACTGTGCTGATTTTCCTAAATACTGCCTGTGCCACATGTCTCCATACAATAAAAGACTAAAACTAACACTGAAACTAATAAAAATAAAAGCAAAGCATTCTCAAGCAATAAAAACTAAAGTGAAACAAGCCCAGTAACTGAGACAAAACTGAATTAAAATTCAAAGTTAAATAAAAATAAAACCTCATTAGAAAATGCCTAACTATGTTAACTTTGGTATGCACACAGTACGTAGGAGAAGAAAACTGCTGTTTGTTTATCTGAACGACGTCCAGAAGAAGGACGGTTAAACTGACAAAGGGTTAAATCAAAGCAGCCAGTCAGAGTAACTGGTGCACGGGGCTCTGCTGTGGCTCACCGAGCGGCCTGCTAGACCATTTAACAGCGTGATTAAGTGAGTTTCTGTTCTTTATGGATAAATATCCAAACCACGATCCAGCTTTAATAAAAGCACGATAAAATGAAATCATTGTGGTTTTCATCAGCGTGGAAATGAGAACGTTCCCTCACACAGGACAGATGCTGCTGCCCTGTTTTTTCACACACAGCTTCCCAGTTTGTCTCTCACAGCGTGGGGAAACTGTCAGAGTATAACAGGTGCACTGCTGCACTCAACACTGACCTGCTCTCTGTTCGGCTCACATACTTTTAGCATTGGCTGCTCAGAGAGAAGCTAATGGACTCTGCTCACTTTCTGTTGATGGAAGCAGAACGGTTGATATAACAGAAATAACAGTAATTACCACCTATAAAAAGATATTCAACACAAAGCCTAAAGCTGAAGCTGTTCCATCAGTTTCTCTCTTTAGAAATATGAGCTGCAGTATGTCTCGTCTGCTTTGCTGCTGCCTCTTATAACATCTGATAACCTCATTGACTGATCTGAAGATGATTTGTATTGAAAGCAGATCAATCAGCTCCAGAAGAACAGATGAGATTATCTGCTGCCTCATTAATTTACCGCCTGATTCTTCTTCCACAAGAGTTTATTTAACAATCATGTGTTTGTTTGACAGATACTGAGGACACTGATGAAAATTTAAATGATTTCATCATCTCGGTCTTTATTTGGTTTTCGGGTCACTGTCAGAATAATTTTGGTTTTCCACTTTGATGGGCTGAGTGAGCTCAGCTGTGATGTCTTCTTCATCCTGTTTAGGAGGATAAACACGCTGTTTACTTTTTGAGTCCACAAAGAACAATAGGTCAGAGACTGTGAGTGTGTGTCTTTGAGTGGCAGGAAGTGAGCTCATGGCAGCGGGTGTGTCGGCAGGAAGCAGCTGTTGGTGTTCGGTTACATCATGTTGATCAGTGTCTCCAGGACAACCTGCGAGGACACAGCCATATGACTGGAGAGGACGTCAGACTTTGGCCAGAACAAAGCTTCCAGGAAATAGCCATAGCCGCACTCTGGCATCCTCCATGCTGGAGTGTTCATATTCACTCTTTGTTTGTCTGCATGTTTAGTCATGGCAGCATTAATATATAAAAATATAAAAAAGTCACCAGACTTCCTTCATGAATGCAATATTTTGGATTTTGTTTCAGTCAGAGGGCATCAAATATTGTTCACATATTCAAATGAAAAAACAGGATAGATAGATAGATAGATAGATAGATAGATAGATAGATAGATAGATAGATAGATAGATAGATAGATAGATAGATAGATAGATAGATAGATAGAT